AAAGCTATACACACCAAAAATACTGATCCAAGAAATTGGTTATAACCTTTTGTAAAATTCTGTTAAAAATGAATTTTATTTTTGTTTTGGTGGGGAAAAAAAAAGTATTATTGTTGTTTTGTATACCCTCCATTTGCTGTTCATGGCTTCACAGCCCGCTCTGTGGATTAAGTAGTAGCTGACAACTTTTGCTTTGCTCAACTGACTGGCAGCTATCATTCGAATACCAGACTTATCTTTATGCAGATTTCTAAAGGTCACCATTTATGTCTGTAAATTCTGAAGGGCACTAACTATGTACAGCTGACAGATTCTGACAGCCACGATATCTCCAAGAGTGGAATAAGCAGGAATGCCTGTCTGAATAATTAATGTGCTTTTACCCTGCCCATAGCCAGTTTTTACATCCCGCACATTCTGACTGTGGTTTTGAAATTAATTAGAAAACATAATCTCATAGCAAACCAAAGCTTCCTTTTTAAATTTCTACAAAAAAAGGGGGTAAAAAAATGATACAATTAAAGGCCTTCAGTTTAAAGTGTTAAATTTATAGAAATCACTCCTACCCAGAGATGAAAATTAACATCTAGTTCTGGATATTATTTCTGGAAAAAAACAGACATTACTGTTTCTGTGAAGACATTACATCGTTACTGTATAAAAAGCGTATAAAAGCAAATAAGCAAAGAATTCTGCTCCCTACACTGCTCAATAAATGGCCCCATCACAAATAATGTTGCCACTTTCAAACCTGAGACTGATTCCTGATTTCAACTTTTCTCTCACTACTCAAATGCAATCAGTCACTAAGATCTATCAGTGAGCCTTCTAAATAGTCTTAAATGTGTTACTCCCTGTCCATCCCCATTGTTGTTGAGTTAAACTGGATCTTTCTCATACCTCACCTGAGTTATTACAAATATTTCCTGGGTAATCCACCTGCCTCCAGTCACATGATCATGCATGCTGCTTCCAGAGTTATCTTTCTAATATACAAATCCATGAGCTAAGCCAATGGTTCAATATAAAAGACACACAAAAACAGAAATTAAAAGGATGCTATAAAGAGGAAATATTTAGAATACATAAAATAATGGAAGGAGGCAATAAACAAATTTTGTGTAATGTGGTAATATATGCTCTGGAGAAAAAATAAGGCAGGAGATGGGGAGAGGGTACTCCCAAACAGTTTCCATTTTAAATGGGAATGTGCAGGGAAGGCTGCCATGAGAAGAGAATATCTGAAGTCTAGGAAACAAGCCATATGAATAACTGGGGAGACTGATCAGTAGAAAGGCCCAGGACATTCAACCCTAGGTATATATCCAAGAGAAATAAATACATACACCTACACAAAAGCTTGTACAGAAATCTCCAAAGCAACGTTATTCATAAGAGCTTAAGCATTTCAAAAAGTCCATCAACTAATATTAGGGGAAATATCAGCTGCCATTTTCTTATTGTTGCCTTGGTCATGTATTAATAAAATAATCTTCATTTTTCCAATTTTGACGTTAGGGCTACATAAAAGCAATTTTCTAGATGTGAGGACTAGTTTAGTTAAAAATCATAGAATTCCATAGATGCACTTAACCAAATTCATTCAACGTGAGTACAGTAAAATACCCTTTCAAACAACCACCACCATCAAAATCCCAATGAGTAGCCACTTGAATACTTCTGAACACTCTGGGGGCATCTAGGATAGATGCTTAATTTTCTATCCTAGATGCCCCCAGAGTGTTCAAAAGTATTCAGGGGGATGTTGGAATAAAATTTCAGAACATCTCCTCATGTTTATTTTCTTTATGAAAAATCAGACAGCATTACGACTTAATAATGTTTAATTTAATGACTGTCACAGGTCCCAAATATGAAGTTTCTGGGGAAATCATAGGGATTGTTGCCATGTTAAATGTTTGGAAAGTTTGTTTTCTAATATATTAATTGAGATCTAATTCATATACCATAAATTCACCATTTCAAAGTATACAAATAGAGAACCTTGGCATAGTGTTTATCCTTTCTTTGCTTCACTTTCCTCACCTGCATAATTGAGTTAACAATATGATCTACCACACAGTATTTAGAATAGAACAATGCATATCTTAAGGACTTCGTAAATTTTTGTAAAATACGCTACAGTTTTTTGAGCCTCCAAAGGAAAGACATGCTGGAGAAGGTCCATTTTGCACAGGAAATGACCTCTTTGAATGTATTTAACACACAAATCCTTGGAGTAATTCTTTAATTCTCTATCTCACACATTACACATCCATCAGTATATTCTGTCTGACCACTTCTAAACACCTCTTAGGCTACTACCTTTATCCAAATCACAATCCTCTTCTGCATGGATAATTACATCACCCTCCTTTTTTTCTTTCCTTGCTCTACTGTTGTCGCAGACAGCAACTGGAGACCTGATCCATCTTCAACCTTCTTTGCTCTCCAGCTGCCCTGGCTTCATTGCTGTTTGTGGAACACACTAGGCCACTCCACCTAAGACCCTGGGCCTTTCCATCAACTAAAAAATGGATAAACAAAATGTGGTGTATCCATATAATGGAATATTATTCAGCCATAAAAGAAATGAAGTAATGATTCCTGTACAATAAGGGTGAAACTTGCAAATATTATGCTAACTGAAAAAGACAGGAAAGGCCAAACATATGATTATTTTTATATGGTAGACTCTCAGTGAAAGTACGTTAGTGGTTGTCAGACGGTGGGGCAAGAGTGGAATGAAAAGTAACTGCTAATGGATACAAGGTTTCCTTTTGGGGAAATAAAAATATTCTGAAATTAGAGAGCAGTGATAGCTGCACAACTGTGAATACAGTAAAAGAAAAAAACAAAAAAATAGGGAATTGTATACTTTGAAATGGTGAATTTATGGTATATGAATTAGATCTCAATTAAAATATTAGAAAACAAACTTGCCAAACATTTAACATGGCAACAATCCCTATGATTTGTGCAGAAACTTCATATTTGGGACCAGAAACTTCATATTTGGGACCTGTGACAGTCACTAAATTAAATATTATTAAGTCGTAATGCTGTCTGATTTTTCATAAAGAAAATAAACATGAGGAGATGTTCTGAAATTTTATTCCAACATCCCCCTGAATACTTCTGAACACTCTGGGGGCATCCAGGATAGAAAACTAAGCTTTTGTAAGGCAAACATGATACTTCACGGACTGTTCCAGGTCTACTTCACCTGACTCCTCTCCTAACCCTGTCTTACCACATATGCAATCTTTCAGCTGCAATGGAAGCAGCAATCTTTCAATGACCATCCCTTGCTCTTTCACAAACTAGTGTGTGGGCCTGGAATGTATAACCTCACCTTCCCTGTCACAACAACTCCTCCGTGAATTTCACAGCTTCTCTGAAAGTTTCGGAGCCTCCAGCAGAAGTGAACTGCTCCCACCTCTCTTTCTTTAGCAGTCTGTCAGGAACTCCTTCAAAATGTGCACACTAGTATCTGCAGTGCTTCATCTTTTTCACCAGTTTTTAATACGTCCACAGCAAACATATCTAAGTTTGCTTGGATTATTTTTTTTAAAAAGGATGATTGCATGAGTGTGTTTTATATATTGATTTATTTCACCAGCGCTAAGTACTAAATAAACTATTACATATCCAACATAGTAAAAGAATGTCTGCCAAATTTAGTTGTTAATGTATAAATAAGCTAATAAATACGAATGAAAGACAGTCAATCACATCTATTCTGAAAGAAGGAAATAATATTAATTGTTCGCAAATGTGATTGAGTGTGAAGAAGAAAACACTGACAAGAAATTCCAAATGAAAGAAATTCAATCATATCTCTTCTGTGAAATAGGAACAACATTGCTTGCATATAGAAATAAATACGGGGAAGAAAACAATGACAAAGTAAGGCAAAAATGCTTAAAAGACAAAACATCAACTGGAAAATGTAGTGCATACAAAGGCAGGTGCAATCGTTTTACAGTTTAAAGTCATGCATTACTCTTAGAGCTCAGAAAAAAGTACGGAATATTTGAAAATAGATGATAGCAATTAAAGTACATATCAATTATGTCAATAATTCAAAATAAAATGAACTTAAATCATTTTAATATGAAGAACAATAGGAAAGTTGATATGAAAATGAAATGAACTTAAATGATTTTAATATGAAGAACAATAAGCAAGTTGATATTTCAAATTTTAGGCTATGTATTTATAATAATGTACATGCTAAACTTTACAAAGTAACTTTATAAAAATTACTTTCAGTAACTTCAAGAAAAGAGGAAATTCTCATTGTACTGTTGATTGATTAATATACGGGCCTGTTTTGCCTTCTATGATTTTCTGGGGAAAATGTAAATATGGATATTGACATAAAGTTACACCGTTTGAAATATTTTATACTGGACTTCATGAACATATTTCTGATAATTAACAACATAATTTTTGAAAGTAATTTGCTTAATATTAAACATCTGGTTGCTACCAAATGACTATATTTTATTACCTAATATTTATATTCAACATTATGAATATGTAATTGAAAACGGAATGAATTAAACAAAAATGACTTTATCACATTGTGTTAGTGTACATGCAGCAACTGAAAAAAAACTCAGTATGATTATTCTGCATTAGTTAAGAAAGTAATAAAACATATGTACCTTTCCAAAAAGGTGGAGACCTACTAAAACTATTATTTTTAGCTCATTTATTTTTCATATAGCTGGAGTATATTTCCTCACAAGAGCAATATTTTTAATTAGATCACTTATAATTTGTTCACAAGAAATATGATTTTTGGAAAATGTATAACAAGAAATGGCAATTTATTTTCCAAAAATATGTAAGATTCCATTTTAGTAACACATTACAAATATGCTGACGTTTCAATATGGTAAAGACTCATAAAATAATATACTAACTTGAACGTAAATATTTTAAAATAAATTTTGAAATTATATGGTTGGCAATAATAATCTACTGATTACCTTAATTTGCTCTTCAATTGCTAAAAATCCATGGTTTTTTCCTCCGATTTACCAAATTAAACATTTCTGAAAAAAAAGAAAAAAATATTTAATTTCATGATGAGAAAAAATAAATACTCTGTGTTATGGTTACAGTTGTAGAACTATTTGAATATTTCTTGTTGGTTGCCAAGTTTATTATTTCCCACAATGCCTGAGGTTTCACAGCAGAACTATGGTATGTAGAGGAAATTTAGGACACAGATGACACATCTTCCTATACTATCTAGTTTATTATAAGGTTTACTGGGAAAATTGATGGATTTGATAGTCAAGATTTTTTTTCTAATTAAAAGAATATAACATTTTTAATATAAGTTTTGCTATTTCCAAGAAATATCCTTATTTCTTGCCATAGGCTCTTCTAGCTAAGATACTGGGATGAGTCTTATCACTTTTGCCATTAGATAACAGGCATAGAAAACAAACTGAGAAGCACCTTAGCACATCTAATCATACACACACACACAC